CAGTCTGCGGTATTGTAATTCTTGTGGTCACAAAGAGAAAGGTTTGAGAACCCATGACCTAACCTAAGCAGGCACCGGTTTTTAAATGTGTTTTTTAACAGAAAATATTACCTCTGGCAATTGTTTAAAGTTTGTAATTGGATGATAAATTAATAGACTGTATCTGAGTCCACAATAAATTAAGATGACCATGGGCTTCTAACCTTTGCTTTCACCTCTGATCAGACATTTAAACTTATTTAGCAACTCAGGTTATGTCACAAAATCCAAGAGTCATTCATAATCTGAAATAAGGGATAGAATTGAATAGAACAGAAAATCCCTTTATCTCCCACAATGGGGAAATTGTGGTGTAAAAGATAACAGAAGTGACCTTAGAAAAGTGTATAAAAATAAAATTGGAAAATAAACAAATAGAGAATTGTACTGTACAATGTTTTAACAATAGAAATACTCTGTATCTAGAGAATAAAAAATCAATAAACATCTGTGGACATTTTTACACTAACGGATATATGAAAAATAGCAGCATCATCAGAGATGTGCAGAATGGCAGCAGCATGTTATTTAACTGACTAAGATAGAAACTGTGCAAAATCAGCATGAATGTAACAACTTATTGAGGTTGTTGGGAACAGTGGTGGTTTTAGAGTCTTCCAGCTGCTGGGAGGAAGGATCTGTGATGAAGCTCCCTGGTGCGTTTAGGATGCAGCAGTCTGTCACTGAAGGAGCTCTCCAGTTCTGCAACAGCTTCATGCATGGGCTTGTTCATGATCAAGTAGTTCTAGAATAAATGGGATCCGAGAACAGAGCATTGAGGAAGCATTTGATCCAATTTTAAATTGTCAAATATTATTAAAAAGACTTGACCTGCCACCTCTCCAGTCAATTCTTAGGATTTTATGCCAACCATACATCTGAGATCCAGTACAACCAAGGATGGCTGCTGAGATAAACAGCATGTCATTCAAAACCTTTACCAATATACTACATATAAGGATTGCAGTATAGTAGTGTCCATTCTTATCAGAAAGGGGTCTATATTTTTATGATCTTCTTTAAAATCTTGAGTTTGATAATAAGGTTTAATTACTTATTATTCAGGTATCTAGACTGGGCTTCTTTAAGAGTGGTCTGCAGTCATGGTGATTAGATTCCTTTGGATAACTTGTAGGAACCTAATTACCATGGCTAGTGCTGCATCCAGGGTAATGGAGTGTTTTTGCCAAATAAACATAAGTTAGTGGGTATGTGGCATTTATTGTTGGTGTAGCCCCTTAAAATCCCACAGAATTACAGTGAATGTTCTCTGGTATTGAAAAAATGTGACCACATCATTGTATGGTATTGCATTGTTCAATGCTAAGCAACATATTTGATGCTGAAGTCAGTTTTACCAGAAATTCCTCTGGGAATGCTGACCTCAGTGTGTAAAATTGTCCTAAATCCAAATCCGGGAAAACAGAAACACTCAGAGAGGCCTTGGTGATGAGTCATAGTAGACCAGTAAACAGCAGGAGTATCCCAAGGTTACGTTTCACCCCACATATGTCTGGTGTCCCTACATGTCTCTGGCTGTGAGGACTGAAACAAGCGCTGCAGGTTTACTTTCAGGCAGTTGTGTTTGGGTCTGTAGGATGAGTTCGGGTTCTGATTGCTTGAAGGGAAGGTTGGGATTGTTGTTTCTTCCTGTCAGGTAGAACCTGATGAAGCTCAAGCAGCAACTTTCCCATCATAAACCGAACCACCATGTGATTTTAATTTGCACAGGCATGGACTGTCTGCATGTTTCCCCTGTTTATAAGCTTATTAAACTTTTTATAAAAGACACACGCCAGTGTTAATAGATGGCAGGTCCTTGAATGAAGTTTATGCCTCATTTTTGTCTTTCTCAGCTCCAGAGGTTCTGGCACAGAAGCCGTACAGCAAGGCAGTGGACTGCTGGTCCATTGGGGTGATCGCCTACATTCTGTGAGTAGCAGCCATCTTCCTTTACATCACTGTGCTCACCTCAGTGGTCCGTCCGTTTATCAATCCATCCATGCATTCATTCAAACATCGATCCATTTGATCATCCATTCATCCAGCCATCCATCCATTTTACCATCCATCCAATTATCCCACCACCATCCATCCATCCATTCATCCAACCACCATCCATTTGATCCTTCAACCATCCATTCATTCATCCAATCATCCATCCATTCAATCACCTATCCATCCATCTATCCAATTATCCAACCACCATCCATCCATTCATCCATCCAATCATCCATCCATCCATCAATCCAAACATCCATCCTTCCAACCGTGCATCAATTAATCATTCCATCCATTCCCTATCCATCCAACCACTCAACCATTAAGCATCTATCCATTTTTATCCATCCAACCTCTCATCCAACAATCCGTCCAACCATCCATCCATATGTCCCCCATTCATCTGTCCATCAACCTATTCTTCCCTCCAGGCATTTGTCCGTCCATCTATATGCCTGTCAGTCCATCCATCCATTCATCCCTAAGTCTGTCTTTCCATCTTTCCCTTTTCTGTCTGGGATAGACCACTTTCCCACAGCGTGATGCATCCACCATCTTGTTTTCCTGATAATGTCTTAGTTTTATGTCACAAAGCATTTTGTAAGAAGCCCAGAAGGTTTAATTTGGAGTTTTACTGCCATATTCAACTCCATTGAAGGACACTATTACCCCTAACTTCCCCACCGACTACGAGGCCATCAGTGTATTAGAAAGAGGTTAAACCAAAGTCTCTCAGCTTATCACTCCATTTCTATATGCGCTACCAACAGAATGAAATATTAGAGGTCAGAGGTCAGCAGCGTTCTAATGGGAGTCACAGTATCTGAGGTGGAAAGAGAATTTATATGACAGTGACTGATGTTTCCTGCACTGACCGTTGTGCTGGTTTGTCATATATAATCAATCTTCTTCTCTTCCTAACCTCCTAGTAGGAAATATCATGGTGTGTGAACATATGTACTTGTTTTGTTACCTGTTTAGGACCAACAGGCCTTATGGGGACCAAAGGCTGGTCCTAATGTGGCAGATCATCATTTTAACCATAGGGAGTCAGTTATCGTTAGGGTAAATGTCAGCGTTAGGCTTAAATGCAGTTACTAAAATAACTGTAAATCAATGTAGAGTCTCAATAGAGATAGAAATACATACTTGTGTGGGTGTGTGTGGGTTTGTACCCGTGTAGCCCTCAGAGTGAGGACCATTTCTCCAATTTCACCATCAGATTGAGGACCAGTTGTTGCAAAGTGAGGACATTTTGCCGACCCTCACATTCTATTTTGCTAATGGTTAGGTTTAGGGCTAACGTGTCAATTGGTTAGAGTTAGGGTGAGGTGTGCATTGGTAATGGTTAGGTTTAGGGTTAGGTCATAGAAAGGGTTGAAAATGACTTAAAATCAATGGGAGTCAGCACATGGTCCTCACTTTGTATAGCAGAACGAGTATGGGTGTGTGTGTGTGTGCTGAGTGAGAGCAGCTCACTGCTGCTAATTAGCCCGACTAGAGCTGGAAATCAGAGCTTGTTAGCTTGTAGCTGCTCAGATGGAAAGATCATATCAAGTAATTAACTGTGACAATCAACCAGGATCCTCAGTTTATGGACCCGTGTTCAGGAGAGCGATTCTGACCCTTTTTTGGTCTCAGCGTCTGTTTGCTCATGTTTTTATTTGTGCTCTATGGTTAGACAGGAACGTCTTCAAGTAAAAAGGGACAGAAAGCGTTCCTGTCTTTGCAGCAGGGAAAGTCCTGCTCTCTTTCTTCCTCTTGTTTTTATTTCTTCGATGTGAAATGATGGAGAATGGTATTTTAATGAGTTTTTACGAAACTCCCTCAGTACGTCCCTCTCTTTGGTAATGAGGAGCAGATGATGTTGTTTTTCAAGCAGAATAACCTCATAACCTTTTTTTGATTAAGATGTTTTTTTTATTGTTTCATAATTTTTTTTCCAATTTTTGATTTTCAATTGTTTTCATTGCTCAAAACAATATTGGAAGAACATCACTCCATACAGATCCACTATTGTTTTTTAGTTAGCTCACTTTAAAGAATCAGACTAGAATACCCAATAAATCATGTTCTTCTATATTGGAAACCATTAACCTGTTATAGAGTAGAATTATTCTGCTGCCTCTGATGTAGAGTAAAATTGGTCTGACAGAATTGATCATAATCAGAAACTTCTTTGTTTTCTTATAACCACTAAATTTTATGTATTCTCAGATAAAAAATCTGAAACGTGTGGCATACATTTATTTTAGCTTCCTCGGGTCATTACTTTGTAGATCCGCCTTGTGCTGCTGTTCCAGCTGCAGGTCTGTCAAAGGTTTTTCTCTTCTAAAGCCTCTAAAAAGTTTTCTATATTTAAATCCATCAATCCTCCTATCGACTCTGAACAACTTCCTTCACTTTTGCATTTCGGCAAAAAGGTTTAACTTTGGTGTCATTTATCCTTTAACTCCTTCCGTATCATTGCTCCATCCAATTCAGTGATTGCTGTTTTTTCTTGCTGCTGAATTTTTGATGTAAGTTTTTAATAATTATCTAAATTGAACAATCCTCTGAGGTCAGAACAGAAACGCAGCACTTATACTAAGTTTAAATTCCCTAAATACGGTAGATCAAATGTGGAAGGCTCCTATGATGCAAATAAATGCTGTTTTAACTTAATGTTATTTTGGATATTTTATGAGTATGAACTGAGTTAAAATATATGGTCATCCGGTTAACTCAGCACACATATGGAATAAATTCACCTCAATGCCTGTTTAAAATAAAAAATAATTATGATTTTCAATCATCTCCAAGTCAAACATATTTTAGTTAAATGAATCAATTGAAATCAAACTAAATTACTAATAACATAAAGAAGTAAAACACATGGTTGAAAACATAATCAATAAAAAGATTCTTTGATTTCAAACCATTCATGATGCAAATCCAAGAGGTGGAAAAAAACATTATTTGGTGAAATTATACTTTATTAAATTTGCTTATTCAGAAGTCAATTAAGAGTGGCAGCCTACTGAGACCCACTCCCACAGACTGCCACTCTGGGTCACTTAGCAAGACCCTTAACACCCACACTGCTCCCCAGGCGCCGCACAATGGCAGCCCACTGCTCCCCAAGGAGATGGGTTTAAAATTTAGAGAGTTAATTTCATTGCTTTGTACTTGTGACAGTTTAATGACAATTAAGTTGAATTCTATGCTAAACATAAAAAAATGAGTGTTAACCTTCTGTGATTATCTGTGGTGGGGTTGTGGGCTATTAGCTATCAGACACGATGGGACTTGTTTAAAAGGAAACATTTGCTATTTTCTGGCTATCAAATGTAATGAAAATATCAGGAAACACAAAGAATAACAGTAAATTAGTGTTTAAACCCTAATTGAACTCAAGTTTGTCTTAACTTTGGGTTGTCTATGCAAACCATATTAGCTGGTTTTATGCAACAGTAAACACTTGAGATGATCCAAAAATATATGTTTAAAAAAAAACAATATTATAGCTTGAAACTCCAGATCTCAGCTTTGAAAAGCTAAGGTGATTTTAAGTTCAGGAAAGCTTCGCTTAGGGTGTGTTGAACTAGGCTTTGTTGGTCTGCTGTTTGAGCACATCTGGGACCTCTGGCTCCAAGTTATTCTATAACTCAGAGAGGAGGTTTGCAGAAATCTGGTTCTGAAGGTGGCTTTATGGCTGCTAAACTTTAGCAAGGGTTGAGGAACAAAGTACATTTAGCTCTGCTCCTTGGGGTTTTTACCAAGTAAACCTACATGGACGCTGGTCCAACGATGTCCAAACTTAATATCATGGCTTATGGCATGACATCCCATTAAACTTGTATGATTTGTCTCATGTTTTTAATCAAATTATCAGTCAAACTGGATTTTAAATAGTTTATTATCTTGTTTTTTGTCAGTATTAATGACTTTCTTCCTCCAGACTGTGTGGTTATCCTCCATTTTATGACGAAAACGATTCCAAGCTGTTTGAGCAGATCCTTAAGGCTGACTATGAGTTTGATGCACCGTACTGGGACGACATATCAGACTCAGGTGAGCCTTACTCTACTTTTTTCTCTGTTTTACCTTACCATCATGGGAATCACACGCTCCACACACCACGTCTGCACCCAAGCCTGACCTCATTTTCCAGGGATAATAATGTTTGTGTCTTTGGGTCACTGCAATGGTTTCAGGGTTTGTTGCTGTCTGTGTCTCCCCTCATGAAGAACTTTTTTTTTCTATCAGCAAGAAGCTGGTGATGGGATCACCTGCTCCTATCAGATCTTCTTATTTATTGATTTATTTTTAAGTAAAGAAATTCAGCTCATTCTGCAGTGTTGCATCCAACTCTTATGTTTTAATGCAGAAAAATATGGAGAGATCTCACCTGATCTGAAAAAATAAAAAGCAATAGGAGCCAAATAGTCAAAACCAAGTATTTTAAAGTGAATTCTAAAATGAACTAATATGCAGTGAATCTCTCCTGTCTATCCCTAGCTAGTTGCTTTCTCCTGCACAGGTTTAATGTGCTACTACAGAGCACCATCCAAATGAGTCAAAATAAATAGTTCCTATTTAATCGCAAACATTGTAGATCTTCTTAAATGGTGCCGAGAACAGATATCTGAGGTACACCATGTGGTTTGACTGTAGATCTGCTGCCTTTTATTTAGTGAAGATCAAAACCCTTCTAGCTTGCATGTATTTTGAGAGGAAATTATGCTTTTAAAAAAAAAAGGTGTATATGGAAAAAAAGCCACACAAATAAAGGCTTATATTTAAATGTTTTGCTCATTTGAAGCCCATAAACTTTCTGATCAGTTTTTTTTTTTTATTATTTGTTTTTATTCATGGCTTATTTTTATTGCAGCTTTTTCGGTAAATTAAAAAAATCTTAAATTACAGCAAAATAAAAACAAATAAAGTGTCACTTTGAACTCATAATCCAAGCAAAACATCCATTAGTCTGTTTTTTTCTACTTAATCGAGGTCGTCTCAGATCTTTATTGCTGTTCTTTTACAAGTCTGTCGTTTCCCTGTTTTATTGTAATAACCTTCTTACCAACTAATTTATTCAAGCATATGTCTTTTGTGATACATTTTGAACAGAAACTGTTCTACAGGTCATAGGGATCTTATAACCCAAGTATTTTATATGGTGAATTATTTAAAATCTTAGAAAACACATTTCCAAAAAAAGTGGATAATCTTGCTCTAATGCTCCAAATTCTTTCAAATAAGGTACAATTAAAATGTACTACTAATTAGTGATCGCCTGTGATTTTTAGGTTCAAATCTGACTTTATATTCTTTTCAAATTGAAGTTTTTTTAACTGTATTGATCTTGATTTACCGGAAGGTGTCCATCCTCATCTCTGTCATTAGTTGCTGGTATTTAAGGAAATCTCTTTAGTCATAAATTTATTTCATATTTTGGAAACACCTCAGCGGGATTCCTTTGCTTTTTCACCATTTTTTTATTTTGTATCAGACCTGAGCGTTTTTTTTTATCACTGCAGATCTTAATAGTTTAGCATATGGATCAATGTGTCTGTCAATTAGCAATTATTCCTCTAATGATTTAATTTTAAACATTTCTAAGTGACGTTTTCTTCCACATAAACTTTTGCAGTGAATCATTGTGTTTCTACATTTAAAGATGTTTTATTTGTTACCTGCTCTCTATCATTTACAAAAAAATCCATATCTATGTGTTTTTTTTAGTTAATTACTTTTAATGTAAGAGTTTATTTGTTCTTTTTTATTTCTACATGTTTTTATTAATTTATTTTCAGCCAAGGACTTCATCAGCTGTCTGATGGAGAAAGATCCGGCCCGTAGGTTTACCTGTGACCAGGCTCTCAGACATCCCTGGTGAGGGGAAACACTCAACAAGTCCGCATGTTTACAGGCCACTGCTGCATGTCTGTGTGAAAATACCAAAATGTACATTTCAGGATCGCTGGGGACACAGCGCTGTGCAAGAACATCCACGAGTCAGTCAGCCGGCAGATCAAAAAGAACTTTGCCAAGAGCAAATGGAGGGTAACCTTCGTTCCCTGTTGATCATTCTAGCATCCTAGTTTAGTTATGCTCAAACTGCCCCTTTTTCTTATGAGATTATTACATTTTCTACATTTTTCTAACATAACTTTCATTTTACACCCCAGCAAGCGTTTAACGCCACTGCCGTAGTGCGGCATATGAGGCGACTGCAGCTTGGCAGCAGCAGCATGGGCAGCAGCATGGATGCGTCCAACCCCAGGCAGACGCAGAGACCGGCCCAAAGCCAGAGCCAGTCGGGCCAGAACTCGACCGCTCAGAGCCAAAACAGCGACCAGGCGGCGCAAAGCCAGGGCCCTGCTAAGAACCCCCCCACAGATAACAACGTAGCCGCTCCGCGCAAAGAATGTAAGTCAGTAGAGCTACAGAGTTTTATAGCAAATGCAAACAAAAATGATACAAATATGTGGACCAGTATGGAGTGAAATGCTGTTGAAATGCTGTTGAACACTTGCTGTTGAGCAGCAAAAATGTTGCTAAAGTTTATAAAGACCAGAGGAAAGCCCACCGCAGATGTAAAATAACATGATCAAACTAATTTCAGAAGTTTGAAAAATTTAAATATATCTTTAAAATAAAAAAAAGAAAAATAGATTTAAAAAAAACAGCAACTTTTTTTGTTATGTTAAAGTTCAATTCCTTGATTGCTTTTTTTATTTTATTTATTTATTTATTTTCCCTTTGACAGAAAATGTTCTTTGCTTCCAACAATAACGGAACAAAATTCACTCCGTACTTTATTACACCATACACCAAATAGACAGAAAACAACAGAGAATCACTGGTAATTACATTAGCAGCAGGTTTGGGCATCTCTATAAAAGTAGAAGTTATTTTATTCTTCTGTTTGGAAGCAGGATATTTTCAGGCTATTTCGCGTCAGAAACAGCCGTGTGTGTTTTGGGCTTCTTATCTACTAAGCTGTTTTCTAAAGAAGCCAATGAGTCAGCCCTGACTGCTCTTTATGACAAGGAGTCAAACCTGACGCCATTTAGATCCAAAATACAGCAGAATTTCTGATTGCTGGAGCTATTAAGTCTCAACAAACGTTAGTAACTAATAGCTCAGATCTGAGCTCTTGTTCTTCTACAGCGATATTAAGCTTCTTCCCATGTTTGCTAGGTCTCCCTGCACCCGTCACCCCCTGCAGCCTGGCATCTGCAGCCTCTTCCCCCGCTGCAGGGACGGAGCTGAACCGCCCCCACCCCTCAGCGGTGCCCGCCCCGATGATGACAGAGACCAAGTGACGCCAGGTCCCGCGGGGCACCAGCTGGGAGGCCACAGCGCTGTGAGGCCGAGAGAGAGAGTCCAAAAAGGGGAGATCCTACTCTCCGGAGTTCTTTCCTTCTCTTAGACGTGCCGCCCACCTAGTTCCCCGCCCTGCTCGAAGGAGAGCAGAGGACATCACTACCACCCTCCCCCTGAAACCCTTTACGATTCAAGCCACCGTTGCCATACTTTGCCCCCATCAGGACGGCTTGCAGGATTCTTCTTGTAGCAACGAAGCATCCAGTGACTCACTGAGGAGGTTTGCATGGTCCACTGCTCTGTGCTTTACGCTGCAACTGGGGTCATGATGGTGTCAATATTATTCAGTGTCGGTCAACTTCCCTATGGAATCTGGGCTATTCTTTTTAATTTAATTACCTTTTTTTTTTTACTGTTGACTGTTTGCAACCGGATTTTTTCATTCTTTATTCTTCCTGTTAATTTTAACGGTGGCATTTGTACCTTTTAGTAGACAGAGCATTGTCAAAAGGATATTTATTGCCACTTTGATATAATTACTGTAAATAAGCCATAACTGAGTTAAATGACAAGGAGTCATTTACTTCATTTTAAGTTAAGATGTTGTTCTGTAGGTGTTTTTCCAAAATAATGCCTCATTTCCCGTAATTCCATCGTCTCAATCCACCATCTCTATGTTTCAGAGGCAAGAGGTGCAAACTTGCTGCAAGTACATAAATGTGCTACAAACGCAAAAAAAAAAAGAGTGTATCGTGCAAACAGGTGAAAATACACGATAAAGGAAAACGCCGTAAAAGAAGAATATGCCGCACTCTGTGAAAAATTTAACGATGCGAAGAGGAAACAGGTTCCAAATACAGGAACAATGCTAAAACACATGGGAAGGAAAATGGCTGCAAAATAAAAAAATTTAAAAAACAGCTGGTTAGTAAAAGCAGAAAACTTGCCCCACATAGCAGAAGTGCTCTAGACCACTAGAGGGAGCCATGTTTTTTTTAACAGCAAATTGGTAAGAACGTTTTAGCAAAAGCTAAAATGCGACAGCAGTACGGCAGGAAGAGGAGCAAGTAAATTTCTTTCTGCCGCTAAGGAGCTCTATATATATTCATTACTCCTTCTCACCTACTTGGTGTGATGTATGCTAATACATGTCTTAACTTTTCATTGTTTAGCGCAGCAGTTCCTTTTACCAAAGAGTTCTTACTGATGACTCCATGAAAGATAAAATAACAGCTAGGAACGCCGATATGCTGTATTTAAGCTGAGGCTGCAATCGTTAAAAGACCAAATCTATCAAAGCCTCCTGGTTATATCTTTATGTACGGCTCCATATGAGTTGATGGTCAGCACCCCCTAGTGGTCTGGAGGACTTCAGTGATGCAAGGCTAGTTCTCTGTGTTTCTTCACTTGCAGTTGTTCTTGCAGTGATTTTTTCCTATGAATGCGATTTGTGTGTTTGCGTCATTTTGGTGCAGCAGTACATTTTGTGTTTGCGGCGCGTCTGTATGTTGACATACATATTTGATTTTAATGCAGCATGTGTCTTAAGCAGCGATTTTCCAGTTACGTGTGTTTTGTTTATTTGTGTCAACGTCATTTGTGTGTTTGAAGCACGTTTGCACCTTTTGGCTACCATACCATATTGTGTGTTTTGAGCATAATGCAAAATATAGCCTGACTGTCTTCTTTGCAATCATCTCTCTTGGTTTACAGAATTTTTTAACAATATTAGACATTTGTTATACATTTGGTGAAAATCAACACTCATTGTTGGCATTGTTAAAAAAACAAACAAAAAAACATTTGTATGTGTCCTTACAGGCTTGTTTTTAATGTTCTTGCTTGCAGAAGTGCTTTAAAAGGTACCATGTGACTGTTGAGATGTGGAGACCTGAGTTATGCGCTTTATCTTTTTTTGCACAGGGAAGGTCAGTGATGTCTCTGACAAATGAGTTGTCGTGTACATGGATTTATCAGGAAGAAAAAAAGAGATTGTAAACCTGTAAAAAAACAAATGGATGTCTTGTAGAGGTTGTTAATTGTGTGAAGTTGTCTGATTTGTTTAAAGATTTCTTGTAACAATCACCCTTTAAGGGAAAACACACAGGATACTTTAACCCATGCAGTAAATGGAAAGAAAGTTCTATAGATCTGTGTTTACTAGAAAACTGCCTCCACTTTAGAATGTTTGTATAAATGGAGTTCTCCTCTGATCCAATAGCTACTTTTACCCTTTGATGTTTTTCATGTTTTGTCACATTAAAACTACAATTCCTACAAGTACAAACTACAATTCCCTAAGGCAACACTAAGTAGAACAACTTTTTTTTACCACATAGGGTTTTTGAAGCAAGCAAAAAGCGAGATAGTGCTCATATATACTCATGGTTATGATATACTGTATTTTCCTGACTATAGAGCGCACCTCACTATAAGTCGCGTCCACTAAATTTTTTAGAAAACTGGAAATGTACACATATAAGCCGCTGATATCTACTGAACCATCTCCCACCTAACCTGTAGGGGGAGCTCTACATATAGTCCCTGGGGTAGGGATGAAGAAGAATGCTAGCTCCTGTTAGCTTGTATGCTAGCAGCAGTAAGAGCTTCTACTGAAAGTTGGGGCTTGGTTGGCTCTTTATTTCAGCTCTGCCAGAGTTGAGCCCGCTCTCTTCATTGGTTCGGCAGCTTCAATGCGCCAAATAAATGTCAAAATGTGTGAATTTGGGACAAATTTTTCTGTGTCGTGCCTGCTGTTAGCATGTTCTGGTGCTAAATGAACATTAGCCCCCTTATTCTTTCACCTCCAACTTTGACTTCCCCCTCTGGCGTTTAGGAAATATCCACAAAAATATCTGCACTTTCTTATAAACCGCGTGGTTTAAATCTGTACGTATAAAAATGTCAAAATGCTCATGGAGAGTAGTTTACATGTGTGTTAAGTGAACCTCCTTGTATAAGTACTTATGCATTTGGACTTTAGACAGAATTATGACCTCATATAGTTTATTAAGTTGCTGTTAAATGTTAAGCTGAATAACTACACAGTCATGTCATACAGGTTCCAGGGCAGCTCTAGACAGGGGCCAACGGGGGCCAGTGCCCCTGTAGAACTGGTCCCTGACCCAGTGCTGAAAACATACACTGCAAAAATAGAACTACATACATTTTTCTTGATAAGTCTACTTTCTCTTGATTTGCAGGGGTAGATTGGAGAATTTGCAGATGAAATAAGACAAAGTTTAAAATAAGAAAAAACTTCAGTTACAGAATATATTAGTATCTCTTTAAAGACAAAACCAATTATTCCTTTGACATAGCATCTTATTTACCTGCTCAAACGAAAGACAAATGAGCTTATTTAAGGAACTTTTTCACATTTTTAGATCACTTTTTACTGTATTATACCAGATCTTTTTTTTTTTTTAAACTGATTTGTCCCTTGTACCAGTTTGATATTTTACTGTAACAATTATTTATAAATTACAGTCAGCTTTAGGCTTTAGTTATATCAAAATAAGATCAAGATTCGACAACTTTAAGACTTTGTTTCAGTAAACAGACTAAACAATGCGCTCTTGCCTTATTTTTTTTTCTCCCTCTCTTTGTGTGATTGACATTCTTTCCCCAAGGAAAAAAAAACGCCCCCCTTGTACAGTATCTTTAAACTAGAACTGCCACTGGCATCCAATGCTCGAAGCGTCTTCAAAGATATCTTGCAAGGCAGCGTAACTCTTAACAAATTTCTCCACATGATGCATCCACTACCGTGTCTTAACAGTTATAATGTCAGCTGGTAGTTTTCCAGTCTTCTGAAGTTAATTATTTGGACTACTTCCAAGATTTCCTAAGAATTATTTCCATCCATCTTCCCATTAGCTCTGATTAACTCCTGGCTAAAGAAAAGCTTCTCCACTGCATGAGACTAGTTACTAAACTGCTAACTAGTAACTTCTGGAATCAGCAATGTCTGCTAAATTAAATTCAGTAGCATCAGAACAAAACTAATGCTTGTAAAATATATTAAAGTTTGCATTAATGTGACAAAATCTGAAAAAGGTTCCAAGGGTCAGAAGGTGATTCTGATGTACTTTGGTCCAGAGAAGGCGAGTAAATCCATTTCAGAGCATCAGGATGCTCTTTCACCTGCCGTTTCTTCCTGCTCAAATGAAGCCATGATCTCACCTTCTTGTTCTTTAAGCTGCACCCAGTTCAGAAGTCCTCAGGGAAATCTGCAGCTGCACTGTGAGCAGGCTAACACCAGTTTCCTGCTGTTTTTTTTTTTTTCTTTGATGGTCGATCACAGAGCTTTCCGGGAACCATGCATCCGAGCTCAGCTCTTATCCAATTGTCTTAGTGATTTGCAACATCAAGTTTGAGGATGTGGAAAAACTAAAGTAGTCCTTTCATTTGTGGACTTCCTCAAATTATAACCAGATTAGATCCATTTATAGCTTCTCTGTTGTTTTTTTGTGTTTTATTTTGTGTTTCCCAATGGATTCAATAGCTTAGCATCTTTCTTCTTTTTTTTCTTGTTTTTACTGGTACTGATTTAAACCAAACTGGTAGAGTTCATTTGTCAGACGTAATTCAAAAACACAAATTGTTCCTTGCTGGTTGCTTACTCTCAAACACATATCAGATTGTAATATCCTGATTAGATGCAATTTGTTTTTATAATCCCTTTATTGTGAATTGTAGCCAAAGACTTGTGTTTGCTTTTATGACTTATGTTAAAGCGGTTGACTAGTCACAGCAAAGTTATTCTAAAGGTAAAGTAGTTCAGAACACAAGCTAAAAACTAAGGGCTGAACTAAATCTGCAAACTGATCCAGAAACGTGTTGATCCCTTCTCTTTCCGTGTTCCTTTGTTTTTATTATTAACACAGTCGAGCTGTTAAAAGAAGAAAGGGGCTGTTCAATCTGCCCTGTCCAAACGCTGAGAAAAGCGGACCACGGCTTTTATTTTTATTTCTGTTTCCTCTGCTCTGTTAAACCTTTATATTGCTGCTAAAAATTGTTTCTTATTCAAAGCTAAAAGTGAGCAGATTTTCAATCATCTTGCTAAAATGTACCGCAACCACAAAGTTTTAAAATATAATCTTTAAAGGCATAGTTATGTTTTTATATATTTTTTTTTTTACTTGTCATGAAGCTAAATGTTACTTCACATTGGGAGCAAAGACGAAAGTGAACCTCTGATGTGTGGCTCCTCGCTTAGAAGTAGGAACCTTTATGTTGGTTGTAATTTATAGGGGAGTTGGTTGTCATATATGGAGTTAATTTTGCTCCATTATTGTTAAAAGCAACAAACATGTTTTGTGAATGGAAAAAAAAATTTTAAGCAAAAATGTAAAAAAAAAAAATGCATTTCAGACACTGAAAAACTTGTTCAGAAAAAAAAAAGTTTTAATAGTAATGTTGGAAGAATTATGATTTGAACATAAAGTGTCTGTGAAAAAACAAATGATCAATAATTTTGATAAAATTAAGTGTGAAAATAATAAAAAATAAAAATGAAACAAATCAAAAAACACTTCTGTTACTCCCAAAAGCTTTTTTTTACTTAATTTCTGAATAGCTTTTCTTCTTTTTTCTTCTAATTTCCATGTAGAAATAGTTCTTTGCTTTCAACAATAATGAAATGACATTCACTACATAGCCACAGCCCACAGCAATGGCCATTCTATATGAAAGAAAAGGTAATCAAAGCCTGTGTGCATCACAAAAGGAGTCCCATAAACATGATTAATGACTTTTCCACCTGGAATAAAAAATAGAATCACATATGCCTTTTTTAACCTTAAATTTTCTATTAAGTTGCTAAATAGAAAAGAGAGAGATTTAAACACAAATTTAGGTAAAGAGATAAAATGCAGAAGATTTTGTGTGTTTTAGCATAATACAGCCCTGATTTTTTTTTTTTTTTGCTTTCAGGCATCACAATGTAAGTCTATAACTATAGTAATATCTTGTGCTTGTATTTGGATATGAATTTGGATATGAAAATTGGACCTCCAAACCTATATAAAATTCGTAAAAAGCTTTGCATCACGTTAAATAAGTCATTGATCGCATTGCCCGGTAGTTAACCTGTGTTTGAAGTCATTGAAAGCTAATAATATGGTGTCACATTTATTTTGCTCTCAGGCAAAATCAACATACTTGCATGTATGTTAAATTACTTCTAGGCATGGTTTTTCTACCAATGTAGAAATGTGTGATTTTGTTGTGCGATGGTAGATAAACCATGTGCAGAAGTAATTTAACATACATGCAAGTATGTTTATTTTGCTCACGGGAGTTTTGATATAAATGTGACGCCATATGGGAAACACATAGTGGAGACATGGCTTACCACATATTTTGCCATTTTAACATAAGGTGGCACAAAACAAAACATGCAGAAAGTACAGCTTATTTGCTTAAAAGTCAAGTTTTAGTGAGTTAATTGAAACTGGCTAATCTCTGGGAAGCTGATTACCGATTAACAGTGATTATGTCAAGAAAATAAAATACGTAGACTTCCTTAATCTGGATCTGGATCATTCCCCACTAAATTAAGATTTTCTTGGCTTAAGCGAAACTTTTACTTTATTTGTAGGAACTTAAAAATAAAAAATTGTTTTCAGGACATCCTTTATGAAAGAAACACCATTGTTTATTTCCTTAAACTGCTAATCCGTGTTAGCATAGTGCTAGATATAAAATATGACCTCTAAGACTAGAGCTCACTTAAAATTTTATAATAAAGTGTAATATTCCCACCTATTTATTTTATAAAATATATTTTATTTGACCAATTAGCATTGATGTTATTTTAGTTTGGATAGGCACATACCATAACCTGACATCTGATTCCTCACCTCTGTGTGTGTTAATGGTTTAATGCGAATGCGAAAATGATAATGGCAGAAAGGTTCCCAAAAATCAGTTTATAAGATAATGCCGTGACTTTTAAAGATATTTTTTAATTTGGCAGAAGTCTGCAGGTTCTTTGATCTAGCTAGGACTAGCCGCTAGCTGGATAGCTACCCATGCAAATTATTAATTGGATTCCATGATTTCAGGGAAATATAGAGCACGTAAAAAAAAGAAAAGAAAAAAGAAAGGTCCCATTAAGAAGTGGAATAGTGAACTGGCATAATTAGCACTTTTTAAATTCTGCTTAAACATTATAAACAGCTAAAATCTTGAGTCGTTTAAGATAAATTTTGATTAGTTTGTCCCCAAACAGCCAAAACCAAACCAGACCACTGCCATTTTAGTCAGCACTAATCTGAGAGGTCTCAATATTTTATTCAAAAGATAATTCATTAACATTTAATTTGACATTTTTGATGGTTGTTCGCGCTTAAAAAGGCAAAATCTTAACATAACAAATGATCCTGGGCAAAACTTCTCTGAACTTTCAAGGTTTGATAGACATGTAAAGAAATGTACAAACCAAAATACTGATTGATTTCTACATCAATGTAACTCCTTATCAGAAAGGTAACTTTGAATTAGCAAGCATTTAGGGATACTTGTTACGATATACGTGTCACAATATGATGTATCCCAAT